AATAAAAACAGGGCGGTATTCTTTCTTAAGTAAACAGGGTCTTTGTATTTACACTAAGGTATAGTCTGTGTTGTACACACAAAGTTAGCATGGGCACTCACTTTAGATAAAAAGGATGGAAATAATGTATCTTTATGCTTTAACATGAGGCTACTAATTTAACATGCATGCACCGTAGCACCCAGATAACCCCTTAAACAATGTATGCTTTAAAAACACTTAGGGTCGGCATGGTGGCAAATGAGATGGAGGCAGGAGGACCTTGTCAAGGCAGTTACCTAATAAGACACTGTCCAAAAACGCAAACATTTCACTTAAATGGAGAAAGAGGTGCCCACCCAATTAATTAATACAGAACTCTGATTTCGAATAATCAGAGCCCATTTGTTAGAACATCGCACCCACTGGCAACTCAGGTGGCCAGACTACCAGGTAGTTTAACATTCTCCCTCTCACCACACAGCCTGGCTGACTTAACCGAACAGTTCGCCTGGAGAGCTGTAAAGGAACTGGTACCTAGGTTTAGACCCCAGAAGAATCCAATCTGATTGGGCTGGAGTGTGGCCTGGGCACCAACAGTTTTAAGTGGCTATTAAAACACATAACTAGGTTAAAACCTGCATGACTCTTTTAGACTAGTCTGCATTTGCTAAGCTCAGAACAGTTTTCACCTGAATGTTCTGCCTCTGTGTTGTATTAGCAATATTATCTACCAAACAGCTGCCAAACTAATTCCAAATTACAGAAAACATATTTACATTAAACACGTGAGGCTTTTAGCCACTGAGGGTCAGTCACTTCCTACTCAATCTAGGAGTAAAGTCAATGACTAGTGCTTCATGGGGTCCTTAGAGTCTAAAGTTCTACTATGAGTCACCACCACTTGGATTAATATCAAAACTTTCCAAACAATTAAATACCCAATAGACTAAAAACTCCTACAGATTAAGAAGGGGGGGGGAGACACATGCCAAAAAGAAAACATATGAAGAACATGAAAACTGTTTACCAAAAAAGAAACAAGTCGCAAAGGTAGTTTTTCAACTTCACTACATAACAAAGGAATACAATTAACCTGAAGCTCCAATTCTTCACCAAATCAACAAGAATATCTATAGAAATACATAAATATTCAAACTCAAAGATACAATAACTGTATTTTTAAACATAGTTTTAAACTATATGGTCAGGAGCTCTAAGTGTTCATACTTATAACAACAGAATATAAAAACAGCCCAAATGGCAAGCATTAGGGAAGTTATTTTTATAGCTAACTAAATTATTCAAAATCCAAATAATCTAGAGGATAATGTACTAAAGGTTCAAAAATGCAATGTTATAAAGAAAATCAACACAGAAGTATACCCAGTATGACAAATTTTGTTAGATATTGTAGACAACAACATACTCAAATATTAAAGTGGAATTATAGGGGGCTGGTTAAGTGGTTAAAAGCACATGTTGCTCTTGCAGAAGACCCGAGTTCAATTCCAGGCACCCACATGGTGGCTCACAGTCATCCATAACTCTAGTTCCAGGGGGTCAAAAACCCTCGTCTCACTTCCACAGGCACTGGGCACATACATAGTCCACACACATGCATTCGGGCAAAACATCTGTACACATAAAAATAAAAATAAAAAACTTCAAAGTCATTTTTAAGAGGTGAAATTATGGTAACTTAAAATTTTACTACTATTTTTAAAAAGATGTGTGTGTGTGTGTGTGTGTGTGTGTGTGTGTGCGCGCGCGCGTGTACATGTGTGCACAAAGGCTAGAGGCATCAGATCCCCTGGAGCTAGCGTTAGAGGCAGTTTTGAGTCATTCAATGTGAGTGACTAGGAATTGAACCTCTGAAAGAGCAGTACTCACTCTTAACCACTGAGCCACCTCTCAACCCCAAATTTGTTGCTTTTTAAGAATGTCTAATTCTAGATGAGAATCACTTAAGTATAATAATCATAGAAAATAGCTAGACAAATTTGCCATGATGCATCTGAATACCATATTTATGGTGGACATTTAGTATAGAGATGCTAACTTCAGTAGGGCTCAGCTGGTCTGATGGCCTCACATGAATTAAAAATTCACGTGATTGTAGACAGCTGTCCTCAATAACCATCCTTACCTACTCCAGAAAATGTAAGCCAGCTGACACACTGACTCTTACCTGCCACATGGGGACCCCCTTTTGGGACCTCATTCTGAAAAAGCATTTATAAGATTATTAGACCACACAAAAAAAGTAGGCCATAATAGTCAAGATGAGACAAAGCTACCTGAAGGCTCACTTTATGTTATTAATGACAAGGAAGGGTTACAGGAGAAAGAAATGTTTTCTGGATGTCCATATATACAATGATGCAGATGTTTACTCAAGAAACTCATTCTTTGAACTGAAGTTTAATGCCCATTATTCTTATTAGCTAAAATCAAAACACTTCCAAGAAACTTTACAGAGCTAGAATGATTCTAGTGAACTATCCCCCCATGAAAAAATAATGTCCCATTCACAAACTATAAAAAAAGCATAAAACATAAATGTTCTAATCATAAAACTGCAAAGATAATATATAAAGCATATCAAAATCTCGAGAGATAAGCCAGGCATTTGATAAAAGCCTTAGTATTCAAGGTAACTATCACTTAGTATTTTTACATCAATTTATTATAAAATACTATAAATTTATCATAAAATCTCTAAGTCCTCCAAATGAAAGTACTGCCAGATTATCTTCATCATGTTCTTCCAAATATTAAAGCATCCATATCTCTAAAAACTTCAGGAAAACGGTACAATGTAATACTAAGCCTATCGGTTAATTCATTTTTTAAAAACTCTTCCCAAGTACATCAGACTAAATCAGTAAGCCTGTGCTACTCTGCACCATTGTCTGCATTCTTTAAAATATGCTGTTAAATTTCTGAGCATATAGTACAATCAGTACACTTCCTTCAAACAAAGCTTGTAATAAAGCATTTTCTGAATTACTAAACTGTCCAATTGCTCTCCATTCTGTGTAAAAGCTGGACTCAAAGTTCAGCATTTGATTCAGTTAGGCACATCCGATTTAAGCTCACGGAGTGTCCCAGTTGTTGCACTCAAGCTGGTTCACAGCACTTTTCAACAACTACCCTTGCTGCAAGGTTGAGTGCTCCTCCCGTCTTGCCCAAAGTCATAATATGACTCAGGAAATTAAAACCTATGTCTGTCACAGTAGAAATGTACAAGGTCACAGTTTTTCAGAGATAACAATATGGTTGACCTGACAAAAAACTTACTAAGTAGTATGAAAAAAAAAAAAGGAAACTATAGTAAATATTAATTTACGTCAATGTTTGATTAGTATACAATTCAGAATAGATGGCAAACAGAAGACCAGCATTTCAGTAATCTTAAAAAAAGTTATGATAGTCATGAAATGAATAAACAACACCTAGTCTATATATTAAGGAAATCAGGAGAGTGTTCATTAGACATTACTCATTTTACCTCTACAATGGGATTCTAGCTTTTAAAAGAGTTTTATTTGCCCACTTTCTCCCTTTCCATAAAGAAGGCAAAGTGCTGAGGAGGTTATATGAAAACTTGTTTATAACTGGAATTAAGTACCATACCAGGAGATCCATTATAACCTGATTCATAGATTAGAACAGAATATAAGAATACACAAACAATTTTGCAGGTATGTAAAGGCTTCCTTAAAAATATTATTAAATAGAAAACTAAAATATACCTAGAACATGCTTTAGAACAACAACCCAAAAGTCTGCTCCTTTCATTTAAATCTTTTCCCACTCATTTTAATATAAGGAACTACTAAAGGAATCCAACCAAGATGTTATCACAGTAAAAAGCATTTCTCAAGACCATTTAAACATATTTAATATGCTATATAAAAGAGACTTACTGTTAGAAGTTCATATATAGTACTTTTTAAATCATTCTTGCTATTTATATTTAGTTTACATGGTTAGGTATAAATTTAGATAACCAATATGATTTTTCTTAAATATTTTTTGTATACCAGCAATATGTTGCCTTATGCATAAAACAGAAAACTAAAAAGAAAAAAGTCATCTATAAAACTTTAGAAAACCAAAACTTTCCCCTTTTTAATGCAATAAACAATGTTGCCATGACCTATTAAGCATGTAACTTTACAAAATATTCCTAGTCATATAATTCTCTTCAATACTGAGAACTCGTCCCTTAAACCCATTCAGATACCATCTTCCTTCCTCTATGAAATCTCAAGACTGTCTCTGTGGCACACAATATCCAATGAAAGGGAAAGCAGACGTGTTAAAAATGTAATAACCCTTTTCTCTATGACAGCTGAAACAGGCCAATTTCTAGATAACTTTTAAAGCCTGGGAGACTAAGGGGAAAGTTTTTTTTAAAAAAAGCATTCTTTACAATTTGAGTGACAAGGTAGGATAAAAAAAATGTGCAATATGGGTAACTGGTTTATCATCCACTAAACCTAGGGGGGAACACATAAAACTATTATTTTAGGAGGAACAATAATTAGAAAGCTTTAATGAAAGAATGTATTTATTATTCCAGACACCATAAGCTCAGTGCAGAGACTAGATAATAAAGCAAGGTGCCTATTCCTGAGGAAAATGTACTTGTACTTAGTATTAATGCTCAGCGGTGAGTATTAAATCTATGCAGTGCTAGAAAGGCAATGGTGGAAGTTCAGATAGTATGTTACAGAGAAAGACCTGTAAGAATCCCATTGCTTAGAAACTAATCTCGCCCCTGTCGTTAACCACTTAATGTTTTTGCTGATGTGCTAAAGTGCACTGGCAACTCAAAACAGGTGTGTTTGTTAAGTTGGCCATGTCTTGTTAATAGACTGCAGTCTTCGCATTTATAAGAGCTGCAGGTCTCCTGGATTTTCCAAGTGTCACACATCTAACTGAGTCTGACAGCTGAGAAAAGGAGAAAAGCCATCAGGTGCCTTACAGTCAGTTTAAAAAACATCCTCTACCTGGTATCTCTGCAGTGATTGTCTTGCTGCTCCCTGAAACCTCTTCTTCGTCATCTGACGAGCTCGTGCTTGAGTCACAAGTCAGGTCACTATCACTGGTACTACTGTCCTGCAGCAGGTTGTACTTCTTCCGTGCAGCAGCCTCCCGTTTCTGCCTCAGTAGTCTGATCCTTTCCTTGTGCTTTTGGCTCCGATGACCTTTAACCTTGGTGACTCTGCCATTCTGCTTATCACTGGATTGCCGGTTTTTCTTGGCAGCCATAGTAGATGTTTCACTTTCAGAACGGGACCGTCTAGACTTGCGCCCAACAGTGGCACCAGATACTCCTGAAGTATCTCCTCCTACTGCTACTTCTGCTTGAGAGGGTTCGTTCTCTTCTACAGAAGACAACGTATCTGAATCAGCCAAGTGACCACTAGAGGAGGGGGAAAGCATGCAATGATTAGAGGAGTCACTCTCATAAACTCGGCCAGCTGTGGGCTTGTCACTCTCTGTGGATGCTAACTGAGACTCTGAAGAGTCCCTTCTCAGTTCCATCAACAAACAGGGCATTGAAGAAAGCACTGTAGAGTCGGCTACGCCAGCCTTCGGAACTTGAGATCCCAGTTCTACAGAGCCCTCTTCCTCCTTGACTGTCTCTTGTTCAGAGGGTTTTGGTGGGGCTGCAGACTCAATGAGTTCTTCTACTTTTCCCACTGTCTCCTCCATCTTCATTTCAGAATTCCAAATTAAATCATGGAGCAGAGTCTAGGAAACGATATCAAAGATGCAACAGGAAAGCAGCCTGCATGAAAACACACAAAGTCAATGACCAGACATGGAAGAGTTAACCTATACAGTATGCTAGTTTTCTAAGCGGCAAGAGTTACTACTTAGGCAGACCTTTAAGATATTATATACCCATATTCTGCTTGACTGGCAGTCATACTCAAAGAACTTAATAGCAGCACAATCCTAGCAATCTTATCTACTAAAATCAGAACATTAATCCCATCTTGCTGTAATTACAGTAAGCAACCAAAGAGTTGAGTTAGAACTTAAGATAGGGCTAGGAAACAGGCACAGCACAGAGTGCTTGTTTAGGGTACCTGACGCCCCGAGTTCAATCCCCAAATAAGAAAGACTTAAAGCACTCAAGAAAGAAATCTTTGAAAACCTATAATGTATACTTGACTTTAGTATAAATGAAAACAATGGTTTAAAATACCACTTAATACCCCAAAGAAAGAGGAGATGTAACGGGCAGAAATATCTAATGTACCCTTATGGATTGCTAGGGGGGTTGATGGTGTGTTTCTTTATGCATGTGTGTGCAGGTGCATGTGCAGGCCAGATGACAACTTCCTGTGTCATTCCTCAAAAGCCATCCACCTGTTTTGTGAGACAGGATCCATCACTGGCCTGGAGATAACCAATTCCACTATGCTGGCTGGCCAGTGAGTTGTAGGGAAAGCCTGTCTTTGCCATCACAGCATGTGACATGGGTTCTGGGTATCAAAGTCAGATCCTCTGAATGAGTTAACTCCTCCCTGATTCCTTAAAAAGAAAAAAAAACAAAAAAAAACAAAAACAAAAACAGCAACAACAAAAACAAAAAATAAGATAACTACATGCTTTTGGTAAATGAGCAACCAAAGTAATTATATGCATCAATCCTGTCTGCACTCCCTCAATGGAAGCTGTCCCAAAGGAGGATTAAGAGACATGACCACTGGACATAGTAGCATACCGTGTAATATGGCAATTGCAAGGATGAATTTGGACTGAGTTGGACATCAGTATAGGCTACATATTGAGTGCCTGTCTCAAAGGACAGATTCTGCTGTTCTCTCCTTCCATCTATTGAGTGAGTCTCATGTCAGATGTTATGTTTCAAAAACAACAACCACTAAAATACAATTCAGTTACTTTGTGAACCCAGGAAATTCTCTGACTAGATTCAAGTTTAGGAAAAATTCCCTACACATTTTACACTTTATTTGCTAAATTTAGCACCCAATGTCCTCACCATTGCCATAATATCATGAGCAGAACATAACTTCTAACTACCAGCCTGTAATTTTATTAATTGATGGTTTTCCAGAGAATGCCAAGAATAAGCAAGGCAAACCACTCCCTCACCTTGTACACAGAATACAGAAGGCAAGGACCATGATGTCCCCTTAAGTCACAGGCACAAATATAATCATGATGGTATGCTAGTGAGGTATAATACAGCATCTCCATTACTTTAGTCTACCAACTATCAGTTCATTTATGACAGAAAACAGAAAATATCAGAAAAATCCTTTTATTGCTCTACCACTGGAAGCATCATTTTTTAATTCATACAAACATAGTATTCTATGTAGCATTTTTTGCTTTGCTTAGCCCTGTTCTCTAGTAAAATGGGCATTGTGGTAATTTCCTTAACAAACTTGGGAAAACTAAAATATTCCTGATAGAGCATTGACAAATTTGAGAAACTCTTGTGTAGCCTATTCTTAACATATTTGAATTACAACTAATTTTTTAATTAAATGAAAATAAGCATATATGTTTAACAATTCTAAAATAAATGTAACCATGCTGAAAATCAACAGAGGGAATACGAGCTAAATGAATAAACAGAAAGTGTCACAAATAAAGTATGCTAACAACATAAACTATTTGCATGTCTATGTAAAATAGCCTTGAATTAAAAAAATAAGACAAATTTTTCTGATAAAAATAAAAGAGTTGGGGCTGACAAGATGACTCAATGGGTAGCATAAAGGTACTTACCACCTAGCCATCTGTACTGGCCTGTCCTTGGGGATCTGACAGGATTTGCCCTCAGCTGCAGCCACTAAGAGCACCACCTGTGTGCATTCACTACCTTCCCTTTTAAAAGACCCTGCCCTCCTCTCTTTCTTTCTGTGCCCCCTCCCCCCTTTCCTCTCTCCCACTGCTCCTGTCCCTGGAGGCTGGTCTCCCCCATCTCCTTTTTATGATCCCTTTCCCTAATTAAAAGCAAACAAACAAACAAACCAAAAAGCTCCACTTGAACTCTGTCACATGGCATCTTTCTCTCTTGCATCACTTTTTTTTTAATTACAGCATGTGTATACCCCCACCCTCAAATAAATAAATAAATTAAGAAAAATTTAGATAGGCATTGTGTTTGCAAAAGCTCTGAGTTCAATCCCAAGCACTGCACAAACAAGGCATGGTTAAGTGTGTGTGCAATCCTAACATGAAGGAGTTGGTAGTAGGAGGATCATCCTCAGCTACATAACAAGATCAATGTCAGCTAAAGCTATATGAGTGGAGAAAGGGAGATGGAGAAAGAAAGAATCTCAACTGATGCTTCTGTCGAGAATCCATTCATACACTCTAGAACAAAGTTTTTTTTTTTTTGTCTTTAAAGTAAAATATCTAAGAATATCTAATTTAGTGAAATCACTAAAATGAAAATAATGTCAATTACAAAGCAAACACATCAAAGTCTTGTTTTGAGTGGAGGAAGCACTAGACCATTTCAAAGTATTACAATATAGCATCCGACTGAAAATAATTTATTGCCACTTTCTTCCGTGCTGCAATGTGTACAGTCTTGTACAGAAGCTAAAGCTGCACTGAGGACCTCATCCCATCTAGAGAGTAACCAGCACATCACCCAGCAACTCCAGCAGTCTCCCCATCCCCACTGTGCACCAAGGCTTATCTCCATGTTTGCCTGCATCTACTCTGCTCTCATCCTGCAACATGAGGTGACCTGCACAGGGAAGATCAATGCACTCATTAAAGCAGCTGGTGTAAATTTTTAACCTTTTGGTCTGACTTAACCGCAAAGAGGGTCGTGTGCAACACAGAGGCTGGTGGACCTGCTCATGCAGTTGCTGTCACACTAGCAGGAGCCCTGTCCACTGCTGCCATCAGAACAAGAGAAAGCAAGAAAAAGAATCGAGAGTGAGCGGCTGAGAAGAGACAGGTCAGTGGTTAAGAACGCTTGCTGCTCTTCCAGGAGACCTGAGGTCATTCAGTTCCTAGCACTCCATTGGGCAGCTCACTACTGCCTGTAGCTCCAGCTGCAAAGGACCCAAAGCCTTTTTCTGGCCTCTCCAGGCACACATACACATGTAGCATACATTCTCACATCCTCTCTCTCTCTCTCTCTCTCTCTCTCTCTCTCTCTCTCTCTCTCTCTCTCTCACACACACACACACACACACACACACACACACACACACACACACGAATTTTAAAAAAGAAAAAAGCAGGACAGTGGTAGCACAGGCCTTTAGTCAAAGACAGGTAGATCTCTGTGAGAGGCCAGCCTAGTCTACAAAGCGAGTTCCAGGACACCAGAACTGTTACACAGAAAAACCCTGTCTCAAAAAACCAAAAGAGAGAAAGGGAGGGACGGAAGGAAGGGAAGGAGGGAGGGAGGGAAGACACAGAGACACTGATAATGACACCATAGGCTTTAGTTTGTTCTTGCTGTTGTTGTTTCTTTTTAAGATTTACTTATTCTATTTTATGTATATGTGCCGAGTGTATGTTTGTGCACCAACAAGTATGTATGCAGGTGTTCCTGGAGGCCAGAAAAGGCTTGTAACTAGTATTTTATCTCTGCAACAGAAAGGTAACTAAGACAGAAGATACTGAGCTACCTTGTCAAGCATTTTAGAAAATAACAGTGGTGGATATATTCTGAAAAGGATTCAGCTTTAAAATGTATCCCATATCTACATATAGATCTACTAGGAGAGAATGAAGTTTTATTAGCTTCAAATGTTGTCTAATCCCTGGTTGTTGATCAATAAGTACCAGAAGTAACAAAAGCAACCACTAAAAAGCTTAAAATTTAAGAAAAGGAAGAAAAAAATATTGATCAGAGAAACTAGTAGCTATATTTTGGAGTGAAGACATTTCATAGATCTGTTAGCTAAATAAAGTGTAACATCTTCAAAAGGACAAAGATCAAAATCCAAAGCTGGAACAATATTTTGTCTGAGATGTCCAATTTCAACAAGAAAAAAAAAAAGACTTCCAAAAGAAACAGGAAACGGTGACTCATACACAGAAGAAAAAAAGTAGTCACTGGGGAAAATTCTCAGATGTTAGACTTAGCAAAGACTTCAAAGGAGCTATTTAAAATATGTTCAAAACACTTAAGGGAGGGACTGGGTATGCAATCTCAGTGATAAAGAGAGCTTACCTAGCATGCACAAACCCTGATTTTGACTCTCAGCAAAACATACACACACACACAATTTTAAAAGAAAAAATAAAAACAAATAGCACTTTGAAGATTTACAGAATGAACAAAATAACAAACACCATCATACATTTAATGACATTGCTTAAAAGAGAATAAGACACAAGGAATAAAAAAGGATCCCAAAGGCCAGTGACAGCATTCATTTGTAATCCCAGTGCTTGGAATGTAGATGGAGAATCAGGAGTTCAATGTCTTTCTCAGATACAAAGCAAGTTCAAGGCCAGACTAAGCCACATAACACTCTGTCTCGAGAGGGAGGGAGGCAGGGAGGGGGAGGAAGAGAAAGAAAGGGAGGAGGAGAAGAGGGAAGGAGGAAAGAGGGAGGGAGAAAGAAGGGAAGGAAGGGAAGAAAATTAACAATTCACACATACTCTAAATTTGATTTTTTTTTAAGTCTAAGAAACTCAAAAAAAAAAAAAAACCTCAAGATAAATGCACAGTGATCCACATATTCACATCATAAATAAGTAAAAGAAAACTACTAAAATCAGCTAAAGTAACCCATCAAATGAAAAAGAACTGTATTTTCAGTTTGATTT